TTTCTTTCTTTCTTCCTTCCTTCCTTCCTTCCTTCCTTCCTTCCTTCCTTCCTTCCTTCCTTCCTTCCTCCTTCCCTCCCCCCTCTCTCTTTCTTTCTTTCTTTGTGGTTTTTCAAGACAGGGTTTCTCTGTGTAACAGCTCTGGCTGTCCTGGAACTCACTATGCAGACCAGGCTGGCTTTGAACTCACAGAGATCTGTCTGCCTCTGCCCCCCGAGTGCTGGGATTAAAGGTGTGCACCACCACATCCCACTCTATTCTCATTTCTTTTAAATTACCTACCAAGTCAGATTTGTGCTGCTCATATCCTCATGTGTGTGAGACTATCAACTGGAGCATGGTCAACCTACCAGGCCACCATCTCCTTACAGAAAACAAACTCTCTCTCCCAGCAGCAGTCAGCGGCCAACAGCTCCTCAGCTCGGGGTAGGAGATCGTGAGCCTCTTTCCACTCCATTCTGGAATGTGGAATGGATTGGTCTTGGGCAGGCAACCACAGTGGCGGCAAGTTTATGGGTGCAGCAGTCCTGTCATGTCCAGAAGACATTTTTTCTTTCATGATCTCTGGCTCTTACAATCTTTCTGTTCCCTGTCTTGCATTTTTCATGATCCTTGGGAGGAGTGGGGTGATAGAGATGTCTTGTTTATGGTTGAGTACTCCATGGACACTTATTCTCTGTACTTCGACCAGCTGTGAATTTCTGTGTTAACCACTGTCCACTGTTCAAAGAAATTTCTTTTATGAGGAGTGAAAGCTGTATTAAGCAATGGCCAAAGAGACACAAATTTAGAGATCTGCTTGACAGTATGTCTATTTAGAAAAATAAGCAAAGCTACGCAGAGAAACCCTGTCTCAAAAAACCAAAAAAAAAAAAAAAGAAAAATAATAGTAGTAGATTCATACCTGGGGCTTAGAAGCTCCCCAGCCATGGGTCCTTGGTCTGATTTACCGAACTGGACATCTTTCTTCCTAAGGAGCAGACCTCAAATCAAAGCAGAAAGCAGAACGCAGCTGGTTACTCCGTTAACATTCATGCCACTATTGCAGCCAGGAGTGGATTTTGCTATGCTGGATGTTATTGTAGCTCACAGGATTCAGACCTGGAGAAGACTACTGATGGCTTTTCTCCCCCAGCAGCCTGTGTAGCATCTTCTGGTACTATGAGAGCTAGTCATCAGGGAGGAAGCTTCCTGGTCAGTACCAACTTGATTTCTCCATGTCTTGCGACCAAAGTTTGTAATATTGACAACAGTAGGCTCTTACCAGCAGGTTCAGGTGGCCAAACAAGAGTAGTGACAGTAGCCTGTGTTAAGTTCGGGGTTTCTGGAATAACCATGGACAACACCTTGAGAGAAGAGATCCTACACCTGGTATTGATTTTTATTTGGCAACAGATGGCTGCTGGGAAGAGCACTATCCCCCATGTAGGGTAACTTGAAGTAGACTTTTTTATATGACTGTATTATATTACAAAGTAGTAGGTTTCCATATTGCTTTATCAAACATCCTTAGTGTTGATTATCCTTCCCTCCGCCTTTTCCTCTGCCCTATGCTCCTGTTGCTTTTCTTACTTAAACCTCCCATTCCATCCTTCCCCCTTTTCTCCTTATCTCACATGTGTTTTGCTATCTCATTGATATTAAAATTTGTAAGTAGAAAATGGTATGGAGACTTTTCAAAAAATTAAAAGAACTACCAGCAATCCACTTTCTGTACACACATCCAAAGAAAATGAAGTATGTTCAAGTGATAGACAGTTGCATGTCAATATTCATTGCAATATTATTCACAATAGGATAAATCAACTGTGTTTCCATCAACATAAGAATGGGTAAAGAAAATATGGTACACAAACCCAGTGGGATACTAATTGGTTTAAAAAGTAAGGCCATCCTGGGCCAGTGAGGTGGCTTAGGCCAAGTCAGAGAACCCGAGTTCTATCCTTGGAAGCCATATAGTGGAAGGAGAGAACCAAGTCCTGCAAGCTGTCCTCTGACCTGTGCAGTATTGCCATGGTGTAAGTGTACCCAAACATGTACTTGTGCACACCAATAATAAGCACATAAAGGGGGAAAAAGTAAGGAAAGCTTGCTGTTTGCAACAACATGGAGGATTCGAGAGAACATTATGTTAAGTGAAGTGAGCCAGACATAGAAGGGTAGATACCACACGATCTCACTTATATATGAAATCTTTAAAAAGTCAGATCCAGCCGGGCGGTGGTGGCACACGCCTTTAATCCCAGCACTCGGGATCTCTGTGAGTTCGAGGCCAGCCTGGTCTCCAAAGTGAGTTCCAGGAAAGGCGCAAAGCTACACAGAGAAACCCTGTCTCGAAAAACCAAAAAAAAAAAAAAGTCAGATCCGTAGAAGCAGAGAGTAGAATGGTGTTTGCCAGGGCCTGGACTCGGGGGTGGGGGGGTATGTGTTGTCAAAGAGGATGAATCTTCAGTTAATTAGGGTAAATACAATTCTAGAGAGCTAATGTATAGCATAGTACCAATAGATATTAACTCTGGATTGTATATTTCAAATTTGCTAAAAGAGTAGATCTTAGGCCCGCGACCTGCCGCCCCTCGCTTGGCCTGACGAGTCGGCACGGCTGTCCTGAGCGCCGTGTTGGGTTCGTCCAGCGTCACCGCCATGAAGAAGGTGGTTCAGCAGCTCCGGCTGGAGGCCGGGCTCAACCGCGTGAAGGTTTCCCAGGCAGCTGCAGACTTGAAACAGTTTTGTCTGCAGAATGCTCAACATGACCCTCTGCTAACTGGAGTGTCTTCAAGTACAAATCCCTTCAGACCCCAGAAAGTCTGGTCCTTTTTGTAGTCATGTATCTTGAGGTTTCTCCAACCACTTTTCATGAACCAGTGGATATTCAAGAGAACTAAATTTGGAGTCTGTACAAAAGCTTCTCTATAACGCGTGCCATAATATACAATCTTCTACTTGTCAGATCTTAACATCTACCTCTGTGAATTTTCATGTATTTCTGTTTCACAAGGTTTAACTATTTTATATACACTGGCTATAGCATACAATAAAACAGCATACAAAAAAAAGAGTAGATCTTAGATCCTAACTTTTCTTACCACACACAAAATGACAATTACATGAGCAGATGGTTATATAAATTAGCATTATCATGGAACATTTAACAATATGTGTGTGCTTGTGAATATATATATATATATATACACACACACACATATATATACCTATATACACATACATGTATACACGCATATACACACACACACACACACACACACACACACACACATACACATATTGCTAAACACTGTGGTACATCTAACTTGACAACTGTGCTTCAGTGAAACTGGAAAGAAAAGAGAATGACAAAAACTAGAATACAAAGATCTGAATACAGAATATTGCTTAATTGAGGTTGGGAATAGTATCTGCTTTGGGGTGGATAAAAGGAGGTTGGACTTGATCAGAGCACATTGTATGCATATGTGGAAATAGCATACTGGACCCTGTTATTATGTATAATCAGTACACATTAATATTAAATTCAAAATAATAAAATCAAAAGGAGTTATTTGATTTCCAAATTATAAAAATGTGCTAAAATGCCTTTTCAAATGACTGTTTCTTTACTCTTTATGACTGTTTCTTTTTCAATTTGTTTTTGGGAATTGAACACACGAGAGCACTGTATTTTCACGTGCGGTGCTGTGGAAGAGACAGACACAGTGTCGGCCAGGCCTCGGACTGAGAGATCATGTCAGTCGTTCCGTTTCCGCCCATTCTGCCTCAGTCTCCCCATCAGGCCATCCAGTCACCCAGACGACTCCTCCCAGGAGTGTGTCTGACACATGGTTCCCTGTACGGATGTTATCCTGGATGTACACTGGCCAGAAATGATCTTATGACCTCGGCACAACAGCAAAGAGAGCTTGGGAATGTGGCGAGTAGCTAGAAATCTAGGTTTTTCCTAATGCCTTTATTTGCTCAGCTCCTTTTATAGATGGGTAAATGAGGATCAGAGAGGGCAAGATACTTGCCCCAAATCACACAAATTATGTTTTGTTCTTGTGCTAGTTATTTAAGACTCAAAGGCCAAGCAAATCTCCTCTCTCTCTCTCTCTCTCTCTCTCTCTCTCTCTCTCTCTCTCTCTCTCTCTCTCTCTCTCTCTGTGCGCATGCATGCATGCATGCATACACAAACATGTCTCTGTTTCTCTCTCTGACACACATGGAGTTTTAAAAAATATTTTGAGTCTAAGTTACAATTACACCCTCTTACAGAAAACACAAAAAATAAGACCATCAACGTTGAAGGCTTCATTCATGTTTGGCCAGCTGTACAAGTTGCACGAGAATTTTGTGAACAGAGAAGGAATAGAATCGAATGCGGTGTGGGGTGTGAACAGGACAGAACAGCATACCGAAGCCTGTGATAAGATGCAGTCCATGGGGATGGAGGTAAACGGGCTTCCAGCAAATGCTGGGGTTACTCGGCCAGCTCCAGGCCCCAGTGACACACTTTCTATCTCCCTTTTCAGGCTCCTTAGGACTTCCTGGTAGCCTGCATACCTCTGGTGTTACTAACCACATCATCCTCTGACTCAACCTTTCTTGGATGTGAGCACCCAGAACAGCAGCGCAAGACTCTTTCATTTAGCATAGCTTGGAGGATCCATACACAGCCTCCTGTCATTTTTTTAAAACAATGATTTATTTTTATATGTGCATTGGTGTTTTGCCTGCACATGTGGCTGTGTGAGGGTGTCAGGTCCCCTGGAAGTGGAGTTACAGACAGTTGTGAGCTGCCATGTGAATGATGGGAATTGAACTCGGGTCCTCTGGAAGAAGCAGCCAGTGCTCTTAACTGCTGAGCCATCTCCCCAGCCCCTACTCTCAGTCAGTTTCACATACATTAGATCACAGTGTTGGACATAGCAAGAGTTTGGGGAGACCTTTCCCCATGTACCAATGAGCAACTTAAGCTGAGTGCAGACAGGAGAAGAGCTGGATGACTTGACTGCTTTTGGGCCTGGAATCCTTCCCACATATCCGACAGCTCATCTGAGCTCCCGTCCCTCTGGGGCAGATATAACCTGGAGAGTATGGATCTGGGCTGTGGGAGTGGTGAAGGTGGTTGTCGTAATACTTCAGGGGAACCTGTGATTATCTTGCGGGTTTATGGACCATCAGTTGTTCTTTTCCGAAGCTGCAAAGCAGCATCCATCTCCCTGAATGTGGAGGCTGTGGAACACACACACTGCGGCAGGCCTTGGTGCTCTGTACCCAAAGTGGCTGTTAACAAAGCGCAGGCTGAAAAGCATTCTCCCACACAGAAAGGCTGGCTCCAGCCCCGGACACCCCAGGTGTTTCCCATCAACCAGTACAGCCCAGACCCAGAGTCTCAGGGCTCTGACAGTCCCTGCCAAACAGGTATCAGGCCGACTCTCCAGGCATACCTGGGAAGGGGGCCAGGAGCCAGGCCCGGCAGAAAGGAAAGTCTGCAATAAGGACAAGAGGCCATGCGGGCTTGGGGCCTTACCCCCGTCGTCCTCCTAGCCCTGGGCTCTCTTCTCGGAATATGGCCATTACCCACAGATCTAAAGAACCCTTGCATGCTATCCCTGAGCATTATTGAGCCCTTCCCAATCAAATTGTCTTCGCTCTTGCTTTTTTCCCACCACCCAAATTTTCTGCCCCTGCCCTGCTCACGTGCCCGAATACCAGTTTTTAAATAAGTTATGGTCTAGGCCTCATTTTGTTCCTGGTGAGAAAGCCTCAGTAACTCAAGCAGGTCCAGTTCAGGTCATAGCCAAAGGCTATCTAGCTCGATTTAGAGAGGTTTTACTTCCTTAATCCCTGTTTTCTAAGCAATGACTCCCCTTTCTCCCTGCAGGAGAATTACATCATTTCCCCTCTCCTTTCCTCCCTCCACCCCTCCTCCCATACACCCTTCCTTGTTCTTTCCCAAATTCATGGCCTCTTTTTTCATTAACTATCGTCACCCCTTTTGAGGCCGCCTTCATAAACCTTGTATCTGTGATGAAGTTCCCCAGTCCTGTGTCACCAAGGGATTGTGATGGCTTCTGGAGGGACAGGCCGAATTTCCAGAGACTGTACAGAGGTGATCTATTAGCTCAGCCCTTTATGGGTAATGTGGCTATGGGATTCTCACAGGAGACTTTGGGACCTGGCTCGAGGGGTTATTCCTTTTCTTGCCTTTATCCTGGAGTTCTTTCACTTTCCATATGGACATAATGAACATCCTGGAATCCTGCCACTGACCCTTCTTCATCTTCCACCCTCCACTATTGACACTGGAAACACTGGGGGGAGGGGGTTCCCTTTTCTTCTTAAATGTAATTGTTTTGACCATCCACACCTTCCTTCACCGTTCCATTTCTTATACAGTAGCATTACCCATCACACGCATTACTCATGTGCTGTTAATGTATGGACTATTACACCAGTCCTTAGATCTCAACAGCGCTTGTGTTTATTCATCCCCTTCTTTGGTTCCTACTCCATTAGATGGATCTACCCACATTTCCATATAGTGAAAGCTGATCTGCTCTTCAGATTAGAGCCAATAAATATGTTGATCTTTCTCTCTCTCCCTGGATATACATACAAAAAAGAGAACATTTCATTCATTTTGCAGTTTCAACATTTATTTCTGATACCAAAACTTGACAACACACAAGGAAAAAAAAAAGTAACAGACAGAATAGCAAATAAATTTATCTTGCATGCCACTCTCAGTCAACAGGACGTGGCTCTCTAGATAGCTGTGTTTTGAAGGAATCTGAGGCTTCAGCCTCACTCGGAGGGAAAACTATTGCAAATGATGAGCAGGATCTGTGAATACAAGAAAAAAGGAAAAGAATTCAATAAGCTGGATAAAGTAATAAGGAACATTAACACCAAATACTACTTCTCTGTGCTTTTTTTTTCTCTACCATGGGTTTTACATTACTACTAGCTCAGGTATGTGAATACAATCCCCACTGACCATGTATCCCCCCAAGAACCCTACTTGCCTAATTTAGAGTGCTTTACTTACATTTTACTCAACCCAGAAGAAGCCAATGGCACCGAAGTTGGCAGCGAAGTTGGCAGTGGCTGTACCACTGGGGCCAATAATGGGGCCAGTAAAGGCCTGAGGGAATCTGGAGCGGGCATTCTGGTGGTATCGGGCCCAGAAGGTAAAGGGGATCCTGGACCAAGGATCTCCAAAATCTCCTTCCTCATCCCAGGTCAGCAGCTCAAACTCGATGTCATCCCAGCTCCAGGGCCCAGACACGGCCTCATCTCCGATTCCCATGCGGGTTCTTGCTTCAGCGCGGGCCTCTGCCTCAGCTGCAGCAGCATCCAGAGCATCCAAAGCTTCATCTGCAGCTTCCATGAACTGTGCAGTCCAGTCACGAGGGTCTCTCTTCTGCACCTGCAATCAATGAGGAACAGAAAACAAAACCAAACCTTTTACAGTAGCCAAGATACATAATCAGTGTAAGTGCCCAACAATAGATGAATGGAAAGAGAAAATATTGTATTACATATGGTGGAATACTATTCAGTCTTTAAAAATGAAAATCCTACTATTCGTGATAATATGGTTGAAACTGAAGGACATTATGTTAAATAAGTCAATCCAAAGAGACAAATATTGTATTGGCAATCTAAAACTAGACTCACAGGAGTAGATTAGAATGGTGGTTGCCAGGGGCTCAAGTGGGATGAGGAACAGGGACATATTCATTAAAGGGTATGAAATTTAGTTAGATATAATGAGTAAGTTCTGGATATTTATTATGCAGCAGAAAGTCTGTAAGTTAATGACTAGCATATATTTGTAAACTGCTGAGATGGCTTTTCTTGTGTGTTCCTGTATGTGTGTGCACACACATGTGGCAGGTATGTGCATGCATGGAGGCCAAAAGTTCCATCTTGAGTGTTGTTCCTCGGGT